ATTTATTTCTCTGATGACTTACTTCCTGACCTTTCATAACTCTTTATACTCACCTGCACATGACACTTATGCCAGTTGAAAGCAAAGCTCATCTTGAGAAGTTGCCCAAGCGCACACTGTCCATTTGTAACCCTAAGTCACCTCGTTTTCATCTCCCGGGATAGTTGGCTCCATTTCCCGGTCTTCCATATTGCTTTGATTTGCGTACATTCAGTAATTTTCCACTCTCCTTTCTGTCTGTTGAATACCTTTATCTACCGGCTCTGGGCGTGCTCAGACTCTGTGTTAGCTTCCCACTCCTGTGACAAAATCCCGAGAAAGTGCACATATGAGAAGGCATGGTTTCTTTTGGCTCCTACCATCAGAGTTTGCAGGCCAGGGTCAGCTGGCTGTTTCTTTCAGGCTTGTGGTGAGGCAGACCATCATGGTGGGGAGCAGAGTGGCTCATCTCATAGTAGCTGGGAAGCAAAGAGGGAAAGAGGATTGCACCAGGGGCCCGGCGTTCCCTCCAAGAGCTTTCCCTTAACGATCTAACTTCCTTCCACTAGGTGCTGCCTGCTAAAGGTTCTACCACTTCCCAGTCACAGCAACTGAGCCTTCAATACATGACCTTTGGGGGACATTATGATCTAAACTCAGATTCTGCCCCGATTTCTTCTGCCAGTTCAGCCTCCAGAACCTGCTGCTCAGGCTGACCCAAGAATCTCTGCCAGGATAAAGATCTGAGTTGTTTATCTTAATTATATTATCAGACTTAGCTCCAGAGCAACTTTTTTTTGGGGGGGAGGGGGGACAGCGTCTCGGTATGTAGTGCAGGCTGCCTTGAACTCACTATAGAGCCCAGGCTGACCTCAAACTCATGGTCATTCTTCTGCCTCAGCCTCTTGTGTGCTGAGATTATAGGCATGTACTACCACACACGGCTGCAAAGCCACATTCTTGTAAGGAAAGTGTAGTCATCATGTAACAGCTTGCATGTTTTTCCCTATTCTATAGCTGACTGAAAATTCTAGTTAGGAATATGTTTATGTTGACAGCAGCTGAACGTCAATTGAGGAAATGCGCAGATGGACTTTCCTGTATTTAGCTGCAACGTCAGGCTTTTAGTTCCCTCTGAAACCACGAGGACCTAGCCTTCAGGGTTCAGCTTAATTCCTAACATTTTCAGAAGTCTGTTTCATTTCTCTGATGTTGAGTCACCAGACTGGATTAATTTTCCAGGGTGTTGTGCTAATTATAGGTTGGTGGAGCTAATGGACTAAATCAAATGGTAACAAGTGAAAAAGTAGCGAGGCGCTGTGGGTTCTGTTGCTTTAGTGCAGAGCTATTTATAACCTCACAATTGCGTGGTAACTGTTAATTAGTAAGCATTGCAATGACCCTCAATTTTCAAAGGTGTCCACCATCATTTTCTAGTTAATCTTTCCCATTTCTTACTGCATTCATTTTATATGAAGGGCAGAGCTGATGAATTGCTTGCCTGAAGTCATGTCTGTGGTGAACTCAAAATTACACATTAAACTCGATGAATAATAAAAAGAAAATATTTGTGAAGTGCTTCACACTTTTCAAAGGCTTCCTCCTTCATTATTTCATTTGCACTTACTAAACAATCTGAAAAGGTTTCCTGTTGGTTGAAGGCGGAAGTGAGAGTCAGTTCACAGCTATCAAGAAAAATCAGAACCAGCGAAGTAAGGAGTGCTTTGTTGTGCGGGGACCTGGAGATCCAAATTGTGGCATCTTTTTATCCAATTTTCTTGGCCTTTGAGGATCTACAGAACAAATGTCAGTTTAAGAAAGTGAATCAAGCCGAAGATTATTCTTGCTAGAATGTTGGAATAATGTCTTCAAAAAGCTGAACTGGATCTAATGGCCATTGTGAGCCTAAACTGCAGTTTGCCAATATACCAATTATTTTCTTTTCCTTTGTGCACTTGGGATTGAGCCTAGGGAGCACTTTTTATGTTTCTATTTTTATTTTGAGTTAAGTTCTCTCTAAGTGGCCCAGGCTGGCCCTTAATTTATAATCCTCCTGCCTCAGCTTCTCAAGTAGCCGGGATTACAGGTATTGCAGTATGCCATTTCTACTCACTTTTTCTTACTCAGTACCCTTCTTGATCCTCATAAGTCCATACGCTACATCTCATCTTTCTAGAGCCTTCTAGAACCACACAAACAAAGAATTCCACAGTTGGATGAGTTGCTAAAGGTCATGGAATCTAACATCACCCCTTACATATGAGATTGAGGCTCAGAGAGGAGTTAGTTTTCAAATGCAAGCTAGTAACCCAACTGGAGTAGAACCTGTCAGACTTGTACCAGGCAGAAAGGGAGCTGGGTGGTGACAGTCAGACTGTCACTACAGCAGTGTTTGTTCAGCACAGCTCCTGAGTTAACTGGAGAGAGCAATCCCTCCAATGTGTTTATAGGATCTCCTTGTCACAAGGTTTGTGGTCATATGACTTTGTCTACTTGGGAATTTTTGAGGCAGATTAGAAGATTAGAGACTCTGAAAAGTCCCTTGGGAAAGAATTTGTGTAAAACAAGCATTTCCCAAATCATGTCATCATTTTTTCCTCCTTTAAAAACACTCTAATGACAGCCTTTGTAATGAGTGTTCCTTGGTGATAATGACACATCAATGAACAAATAAATGGTACCTGTTGAGATGGGGTCACATCAAGCTAGGTTCTTGGCTATGTATTATTTTTTTCTCAGGAGTGGATATTACTCTTCCTGCTCTATAGATGGTCCCAGGACTCGGGCTGTATGTGACAGAAATTTAATTCAAACTTGCTTAAAGGAAACGAATTATTGGTTGGGTTATGTGACTGAGAGGCTTGGACAATTGAAACAAATGGTGTTCTTTTTTCCATCTTTACTAAATCTATTCATTCCTTTGGTCGATAAATGTATAGAATTTAGTTCACAGGCCACTCCCTCACCACTACTCTGCAGCCTGAGGGAAGGATATTACTCCAACCCCTCTCCCCCAGCAAAATCCTGGAGAGGGCCTCTGATTACCTGGCATAACCAGGCCCTGTGCTGTCCAGATCTATGACAGGGACCGTGGATACCGTAACTCATTTTCACTGAATGTCATGCCCTCTCCTGTTGACAAGGGAGATGTGTTTCCAGAAACCAACATAGGCCCCAGATAACATAAGAGAATGCAACTTCAGTATATCAGATCAAATAGCAATGGCAGGACTGAATCCATTTGATTTTTCCCCATGGTTTATGGCTTCAATAAGCTACTCTCCACTCCTAAGTAGGAGTCCAGCAAGGCAGACCCGTCTAAGCGGGGAGGGGGTAGAGTGTTCAGGTGCCATAGGCATTGAGAGGAGGAACTCTAATACTGGAAACAGAGTGTAGTTTTTGCTGTTTATGTAGTTTCTATGATGCAGCTTCTGTCCTCCTTTTTCTCCCTTGTCATCTTCTGTAGTTTCCTGGTGTCTTGCAGACTCATGCCAGGAAAGCCTCCTTTTAAGCTACATGGTAAAGGCCCATAATTTCTAGTCCTAGTGGGCTGTTTGGGCACTAGGAATGCAATTTTCTCTTTGTGTTCCCTCCTGATTCTCCCTAGGAAAATTTTAGAACCCTGGTGTTTCATCTAGATATCACCCAAAGCCTTATGCGCTCATAGGTGGGGCTTTGGGAAAGTGATGAGATCACAGGGAGGTATAGCTGGTTTGTTGTTGGGAGGTGGGATCTGGTCACAAGAGGTGGTCCCTGGGGCGTGGCCTGAGTCTGTCTCTTCCATGCTTCTCTCTTGATCTCTGTGTCTGCTTCCTGCCTCCATACTATGAGCTATTTGTTCTCCTCTGCCATGCCACCCTGCTTTAGAGCCAGCCAGCTATGGACTGAACCCTCTACAAATGTGAGCCAACATAAACCTTTCTGGTTTAAAATTGTGGGTGTCAAGTGGGTGTCCCAGAGATGAGGATGTAAGTAGGCCACCTGGCAAACACTGAGAGCGAACAAAAAAGGCCTTCTCCCAGTGGATGCCAGCTCAACCCCAAGGGGAAAAGAGCTTTTCTTAATTTCTTTGAAACCCAGGCAAATTGATAAAAGAAAAAGTGTCCCTGAACATCTGAATCAAATTGAGGGTTCTAAGTTGCTTGGCAAAAGTAGGTATGGATGCTATGTTCATCAGCCTGAGATTTGTGTCCAGTTTATCCAAGTTACAAGTCTGTGTTATGTACTTTTAATTTGCAGCTGAGCAGGAGGTGTTGAAACCTTTGCAAATTTGCACTGCAGTTAATTCTTCAAGGTCAGTGTAACCACAGCAATATCAGGTCTTCCTTAAACACATGGTATGACCAGCCATGATAAGTGTATATTTTAGTAAATGTCCTCCCTCATAGTGAAACTTAAAGAGAAAGAAGTGTGAAAACCACCCAGCATTGTGCTCAGTATGTCACTTGCTTTCCTCTTCTTCCTTTGAGTTCTTTAGTGTAATGGGACCCAGAGCAGACAAAATGCCTATGTGTAGGGTAGACATGACTTGGGTTGTAAATATCAGACCAATCAACAAAAGAACTTGAAAATAAAAGTAAATAAATTAATAAAATTTTTAAAAAACTAAGTTTTTCTTCCTTCCCTAGCAGTTAGGTCTGACGTTGGAAACTGCTGAGTCAGGTGTCAGTAGTGCGTCACACCTCTGCCTTTTCCTCATGATCTCAAAATAGCTATTGAGCTCTAGGCATGCTAATCATGTCTGAGAAAGGGAAGAAGGGGAAGAGGGCCACATTTTTAATCAGGAAACGAAAAAACTTTCCTAGACCAATCTCGATCCCCTAGCACTTCTTGGGTCTCCCTGGCAACTCAGCCACACGGAACCCTGAGAAAATGAATGTTTCTTTTTTCCAGCCTCATGATAAGACAGAGAAAGAAGAAAAGGCTGTCAGGGGCAGGTATTGGGTTGGTTTTTTAAGATGCAGAAGATTTCGACCTGACCCCCGGTGGTTCTGCAGAGCTGGAGGAGGAAGCTGGCGTCAGTCAGTAAGAAGCAACTGTGCTTTCTCCCTTTCGTCTGACCAAGCGCCTGGTTCGTCGTGGTTGGCTCTGTCTGGGACTCCGCACAGTCAGTGAGGTCAGGGAGGGGATGTTAACCATCTCGTGAGCCCGATTGTAAACCTGTAGGAATTTTGTCAGCCAGCTTATAAACACAGCCAGTGTGAAAATTTAATTATAAGAGCTTATATTTAAGGTGTACACATTCAGAATATAATGCATTATGAATATCATTACTTCCTAATATTTTAACACTTCTTACTTCTTATCCACTAGACACGAGAGAAGCACCTAACTTTCCCCCATTTTCTTGTTCTGGCCAGAGGGGAGGATAGCTTGGCCAACTGCTATCATACCCATCTCCTTCTCTTCCTCTGGGCCCCCTTAATACCATACCCCCCGCCAACTGGACTGGAACAACTTGCCTTGTTGTCCTCTCTGTTATTTAGTGGCCACCCTCTCAGGGCTACTCTAACAGGAGTGCAGCTCAGCTGTCAGCCATAGGGCCCCTTCCCCACCACTTGTCACTTCAGACTGCCACAGCCTCTTTCAAGAAGGAGAAGCACTCTAACACGGCTAAGATCAAGGCACGAGAGATTGACCTCATTATTAATAGTCCAAACATCCTCAATCCCCGATGAGCTGTGCTGAACACAGCTAGCCCTCCTGAAGTTCCCCAGTTTTGTCCCTTCCATTTGCCCCAGAGATATGACAGCTGTCTTTCAAGGAGCTCCAATCTCCCACTTCCACCTGGACCAGCCACAGGCCTGCAGCTGCTATAGAACAGCACCCCTTCCTACTTGTTGGTGGTCTCCCCCTTCTGGTGTATTGTTAAAGACTTACTCTGATAAATTTGTAAATCTGCTTGTGATTTATAGTGGTGACTATAGAAGAAAGAGCAATAAGTGCTTGGGGCAGTCAGCCCTGAGCAGCTCCAAAGAACAGCAGCCAGTGATGACGGTGACAGAGACCAGCACTGTGTAGATCTCACTATGGTGCCCAGCACAAGCTGGTGGATGGTGGAAGCCCGCAACAGTAGAATTGGCAGCCAACTGAGTCAGCTGTTAGGATTCAGCACTCGTGATGCTGATGGATGGCATCAGGGCTGTGGCAGAGTTGTATTTTGGTTATTCATGATTTTGATCTGGAATTGAGCAAAAGAACTCTCAACCAGTGTGAAACAACCGTGCTTTGAGGTTATTTATGTCTACTATAAGTATTTTTAAAATGTACTACTGTGCATTTACTTCCATCTCTGTGTTTAGCAACAGAAGACTGATAGCTTTAAATTGAACACAAAATTACTCACATCAGAGAAATTGCTAGATGCTACAGTTCTGTGCTTGTTTGAGAGTTAGTTGGTAAACATTTACCAGCACACTGCTGCGTTGGTACCTGGGAAACAGTGTCTTGTAGAGAGGATGAAAATGAGTGCACAGGGCTAGGGATTTAGCTTGGTGGCATAAACACCTGCCTGGCAGGTGCAAGGCTGTGAGTTCGATTCCTGGTACCAATGAATAAGTAAATAGACTTTCTAAATTTAAAAAAATGAGTGTACATTTGGAGCAAGAAGGTAAGTTTTTTTCAAAATAAGCAGCAGGTTCTTGCCAGGAATTATTAAAAAAAAAAAAAAAGAACTCACAAAGAAATGATTCCTTGTGTTTTATCCCAGCACAATAGAAATTTATTCTATATGTTGCTTTCTCTTTGCTTGGATTAAAAGAGAAGTGCATTTTCTTCAGCTCTTATTACTTAAGAATCATTGTCAAACTGCTCTGTTCTACCTCACTATCACTAATAAACACCCGCTGCACATCTACTGTAGGCTAGGTTCTGAGTGTAACCGAGTGACATTAAATAAGGTCTCTGTTCTCAAGGAGCCTCGTCACAGAAAAAATAAGTGGGAGCAGCCTCTTCTACGTGCTCCGTACTATCCCTGCGTAGCCTTGTCTCGAGTCAGCCTGTGCTCCTCTTTCATCTTTTCCACGTGCCTTTCCCTACATGACGTCACCCAATTCCATGGCTTTACGTATCTCCTCCCTTGAACTAGACTTGATACTCAGCTGCATACTTACTCTTGCCACTGAGCTCTAAGAATTACCTCAAACTTATGATGTCTAACCTAGAGCTCTTGATTTCTGCATGTTACCCCCTGTCCAACTTTTCCCTCTGTAGCCTTTCCTGTGTTAGGGGATAGAATCTCCCTACTCTGTGCTTGTCATTTTTTATGTTTCTGTTCTCCCTCACCAACTCCACTTCCTAAACTATAGCTAATCTAATAGAAGGCTCATTTTTACCTCCACAACTGATCCTGGGCCCAAACACACCCCAGTTCTCTACTGACATATCTGAAATTTAATATAATACCTGAACAACCTTGATGGGCTATCTTTCTTTTTCTTTAATTAACCAGCTTATTAATGTGCTGTACTAGGAATTGAACCCAGTACAGTAAACCCAAATAATAACCTGATGTGGTGTTTATTTCAGAGATGAAAGGCTGGTTCAACATTCAAAAAATCATGCACTATTATTCACAATGACAGGCTAAAGAAGAAAATTCACTTTGTCATATGAAAGAAAAGAAACATTTGACAATATTCAACATCCATTTGTGAAAACTCTCAGAAGTAGGAAAGGAGAGAAATCAACTTTATAAATGGAACACACAACAGAAAAGTACATCTATAGGTAACATCATATTAAAGGATGAAAGACTGAAATGCTCTTCCTTTAAGTTCAGAAAAAAGTAAGGGTGCCCACAGTTACCAGTCTTATTCAACACAGCACCGAAAAGTCTAGCCGGCACTAGGAAAAAAGAAAGTAAAAGATATAGATTGGAAAGGCAGAATCAACTTACCTTGATTTATAGAGAACACAATTTTCTATGTAGACAACTTGAAGGAATCTACCAAAACAAAAACAAAACAAAAATAGGCTCACAGAACAAACGCCTCCTATACCTAGTAAGTCCCACAAGGACACACAGTAGAAGGTGAACACACACAAAAGTCTACATACTGAAAAAGGAATAGGAAGAAACTAAAACTGAAGTCACAATACCATTTAAACAGCTCCAAAGAAAACAAAATACTTAAGCATAAGTTTAACAAAACATATATGACTCCAAAATTGTAAAACACAGGTGAAATAAATAAAAATTATACAAATGAGAGTTATAACATGTTTATTTATTGGAAAATGCAACATAGTAAAAATACCAATTCTTTTCAAATTTATCTAGATGTTTAATAGAATTCGTATCAAAGTCCCAGCAAGATTGCTGTGTAGACTAGAGATGCTTATTCTAAATGAGTACGGCAAGATGAAAGACCTACGATAGTGCAAACAAGTTTGAAAAGGAAGAATAGCATAGAAGAATTACCCTACTTAATAGTAAGTTTGCTATGTAGCTATAATAATCAGGACAGTGCGGTGCTGGCAGACAGACAGGCTTTTGGGTCAATGGAGCAGAACAAAGAATCTGGAATGAGTCATGCAGCTATGCTCAAATGATTTTTGACAAATATACAAAGCAGTCAGCAGAGGAAGGCAAGTCTTCTCAACAAACTGTGTGTGCAACTGGACACCCACAGGAGGAAACCACTGTAACAAGCCCTAGGACTCACGCTCACAGAGGTAACTCAAAGCAGAGCCGATATTTAAATGAAAGTATAAAACAATGTTTAAAAAAAAAAAACAGAAAATCTTAAGGACCTCTGACAAAGTAAAAATGCCTTAGACTTGATACCAAAAACACTTTACAAAACAATTATGGTAAATTGAACCTCATCAAAATTAAAAATGTTTCCCAGTTCCCGGGAGGCAGAGGCAGGAGGACTGTTGCAAATTCAACATCAGCCTGAGCTACAAAGTGAGCTCAAAGCCAGCCTGGACTGCATAATGAGACCCTGTCTCAAAAAGACAGAATAAATAAATAAACATTTGCTCTGTGAGAGACCCTGTATGGAGGATGAAAAGCTACAGACTGGGAGGTAGACCAGATATCTGATAAATGGCTTCTATCTAGAATACAAAAATGTTCCTTAAAATTCAACAGTAAAATAAACAGTCTCATTAGAAAATAGGTGAAAGACACGGAGATATCTTACTAAAAAAGGATATGCAAGCCAGATGTGGTGGCACATGCCTGTGACCCAGCACTGAAGACATTAAAGCAGAAAGATTGCAGGTTCAGGGCAGCACGGGCTACACTACAAGACCTTGTCTCAAAAAACAGAAACAGAAAAACCAAACAATCCCCACAACAAATAAACAGCTTCTTCTTAAAAGAACAATAAAAACAACAGACAACAAGTAAAGAAAAAGTCCATGCAGCTGGCAAATAAGTTCACGAAAAGATGTTCAACATTGTTAATCATTAGAGTAATGCATATAAAATCCATAGCGAAATCCTCCCATCCTCTCATCCACAAAACAGCTGTCATTGTATACCAATTGAAAAGGCTAAAATGAAAAACAGCACCAACACCAAATTGCTGGTGAGGATGCATAAAGTCTGATCACTAATAACGCATTGTTGGTGGAAATGTAAAATGGTACAGCCACCCTGGAAAACAGTGGTTTCTTTTCTAACTAAAAATGTACTCACCGTACAATGCAGCAATTACATTCCTGGATGTTTACCTCAGAGAAATAGAAATGTATGTTTGTATGAAAATCTGCACAAGAATGTTCATATTATTTACAATAGCCCCAAACTAGAAGTAATCATTGACAAATGAGTAAACAGTGGCATACCTGTATCACAAGATCCTACTTAGCAAGCAAAAAGAATGAATTATTGATATAAGCAACAAGTTCGATGGATCGTAAAGAGAGAGATTCTGCTGGGTGAAAAAAAAAAAGCAGTTCCAAAAGGCAAATACTTATGATTTCATTTGTGCACTGCTTTTGGAATTTTGTAATGATGATAAAGAAAATGGATTGGTGCCTTCTAGGGGTTGGGATTTGTGGAAAGAGAGTCAAAGTGTCTAGGAAGGGTAGCGTGCATAGTGGACACTTGGAGTGATGGAACTGTTGGCACCTTGACTGTGGTGGTGATTTTGGAAGGTACACACATTATATAGTTGCTAAGAACTACAGACACACATACATACACACTGTAAATGAGCACACACATGACTAGTGAGGTCTGAAAAATTTATGGATCACAGTGATGTCAATTCTATGCTATGATATTATACTGTAGGAGAACATCCCTATGCTCCAACCAGAATACATCAGTTTGTTAGCGGCCCAGGTAATAGTTTCTGTTCCAGTTCCGGTTGCTCCTGTCTCTTAGAAATAGCTGGGTACTCTGATGCATAACTGATCACTGTGGCACACATTGTATAAACCAATCCCCAGTTGACAAACCCTTCTGCCTCTGTACTTCCTGCTTGCTTATCCCATAAAAGCCCTAGACCACCAGACATCAGGGCCTGATGATCCTGATCAGTGCTTGTCAACATAAATAAGTCTGCTTCCAAATCCCGGGTGTCATTTTGGTGTTTCTGTTTGCCATTGCAATTCTATAGTTATGTAAAGTGCTAACATTGGGGAGGAAAGGTTAAGGATTTATAAGACCAGTCTATAACATTTTTTTGAAACTTGCTTTGAACCTACAAATAAAAGGTTTACAAATATAAATCAAACTGTATCTGATCTCTTACTTTAAATAACTTTGGGCTTCAATTAGTAGAAGATCCAAGTTCTTTACCTTATGTCCTCTACTCCTTGCCTGTGTCTCTGGACTCATCTCACTTTTCATCTTATTACTTAAGCTGAGGCCGCACAAGTCTGCCCTTGCAGGCTTTGCACTCTGTCTCACCAGGGAGATGTCACACGCATCTTGCTGGTTTGCCTCTGTCATCCACACAGCCTATCATCATTCAGGGTCACTTCAGGATCCCCACTTCAGAGAGGTGCCCCTTCAGCCCCAGTCTAAAGCATTTTCTTCCACTCTCACTCTAGATCATTCCTTAGTGCATTTTCTTCCAAGCATCTGCCATTATCTGAATTTACCCTCTTTGATTTTGTTTATCAGCTGTTTTCCTCTATTCAGATCTAAACTCTTAGTATTGGGACTATGTCATCTCACGGTGTCACTTCCAGTGGGTTAGATAGACTCAGGGCTGGATATCAATACTCCTCCCCCTGCCTCATAATAAACAATCTCCTCCCTCTCTTGGTTCTTGCTCCCATCTTAATGTAGACAGTAAAAGAGTAGAGACTGAAGTGAGATCACCGCCTCTGTTCCTGGCAGGGGTTGGGCTGGAAGTGTATCTTCCACAGTGCTCAGTGGAGAACCTGGCAGCCTTGCCCAGTGTTCTCAAGCAGCTCTGAACTGGATTATTCCCTGACGACTTGGAGACAGGTGCAAGTATTCTACAAACAAAAGAGAAGAGGAAGAAAGGTGGTGTTGAGTTCCTGAGTCCTCATTCTGATGAGTGTTCCAGGAAAAGGCACAGAGGTAGGACTGCTTTAAGTTATGGGATTCAGTGAAGACTCTCATGGTGAGGGCAGGAGACCCAGGCAGGAGACAGCCTTCAGAGAATCTCAAAAGCCAGACCAGAGCATTGAGAAGCTGTCCAAGGTGAAGCTAGAAATGACTACATCCTTTTAACCACCTCCATCTACTCATTTGCTCAAGTGCTATTTTTATTATTCGAGGGAGGCGTGAGTGATTGCTTTTTCCACTCAGCTTGCTTTAGTCCTCTGCAAAGGAATAGTGTGAAGCAATCCATCAGCCTTAATAGAGTTTATGTTTTACTACAGCTCTCTTGTCTCAAAAATAATAAAATTACACTTAACATGACTACTTGTCAGCTGCAACGAAGTGCCATATTAATCAGAAGTGGATTTTTTTTAAAAGGATAACTTGTGAGTTATAAATCACCACCACCAGCATTTCCCTTAATGGAAAATGAAAGTCTGGGATAGTCTGGCCATAGTTATGAATAAAAGACAAAAAAATATGTGCTTGCCAGCATTGTAGAAGGAAGCACAAGAATATGGGTTATAACACACTGTGAAGACTAACACCACCGTTGACTTCAGCAACCCTGAGAAAGAAAACTTTTAGGAGAGATGAAATGTTATCTCCACCCTGAATCTCTTCTGTCAAATTATCTTGTTGACTCAATATTGTTCAATGCATGGATCCAACTTTCTCTTAATGATTTTCCCATTATTTTTCCAGATACATGTGAGACACGATTTAAAAAATACAGTGATTGTTAATGTTTAAAACATTTTATTACAGCAAAAGACAATTATCTTTCCATATTAATCCCTCTCAAAATATCCCCACTCCCATTTCCAACACACTTATAACACTGTCCTTGCCATTTTCTGAAGCAGTTCTGGAAGTCCTCTTTTTTTCCTTTTTGCTCTTGAAACTAGTTTCCATTTATTAAAAGGATAAATAAAAGTTTAAAAAGTTGTTTGCCATCTATACTTCAGAAATCAGAGCATTCTTATTTTCAAGTCCTACCTTCAGAGTGAAGATAAGCAATTTCTGAAGTCCACCTTTGGATTCTTTTGGGGTTCACTTTGACTAAATCAAATGTTTAGTAGAGAAAAGTGTTCCTTTTGTTTGCACTCTTTGAGGCACAAATGGGTGTTGATTGGCTAGATTTAGGTGTTCTGAGATCAGTGCTGGGCTCGTGCCTTGGGAGCCAGACATTTCATGATTTAGGTGTGTTGAATTTAGAGTCTTTTCTCTGGTATCTTCAGGCTGAGTTTACTGTAGGAGGCATAGAAATGCTTTTCAGGGCTGATAGAAAGCTTCATTTTTACCATGTGTATAATTATTCTGTTGCATGTTTTAATTAACAGTACACTTATGGAGTGCTTGCACTTTTTCATAATTTTTGCTTCTTTAAAACTGAGAATTTGGGCATG